AAGTATTTCTTGAAAATTGTAAATCTTTTTCTATATCTTACTATTTTTGTTATGTGAATCCTTCACGAATTCAGCTCTCACTTGATATAACTTTTTTTTATTTCTCATTCAATTCATTTGTTTTCAATCATTATATATGAACTGTATATATAACTGTTTTTTGCAGCAATCATAAAATTGAATCTTCCAAACTTCCGTACTTGATGTTTAATTATTATTATTTTCAAATCTTTTAATCCCGGTATCTTAATAACACCTTTCTGGTATTAAAATAATACTGAGTCAATAATCGATATGTCTTAATAAAATGTAAAAAATATAAGGATATAAGAGCTGATTTTTTAACTATTGTCTGATGAACAATATTTTGCATTGAAGAATAATTACTTGAGAAATTATTTATAAAAATATTAAAATAGTCATCAAATGATCAATTAAAAAAAGTACTTTTAGAATAAATTATTTACACGAAGTCCAAAATATAGGAAGAATTCTACGGACAATAACTGCCCTCATAAAACATTACTTTTTAACCAAATATTTTATAATATGAAGAAAATAGAAAAGCTAGGTACTGATATCTATAAATTATTTCAACCTAGATCCTCATCTACTTTTACCCTTAACACATTTTTAGGAAATTACCAAAATGTAATAAAAACTCTGATTGATAAAATATTACCAAAAAATTTGTACGCGAAATTCTTACTATATCAGGCACTTATAATAAATAGAGTAAAATTATAATTTTTCTTTATATTATTATTCTAAAGCAAAACTTTTATCTAAGAAAAAAAGTATGTGAATATCTATGTTAATCAATAACTAAAGCAAAATCAATACCAACTCTTTTCTTACATAGTATCATGTATCCTTTATATTTGTTGGTGCAAATGAACACATTGCGTGTAAAATATCTGTCTGAAATGTTCATGATGTTTTATTTGTAATTACATGCGATTTATTGTAATTGAAATTGTACAAAATAAATATCATAAACCGAACAATTATGAGATCACGTACTTATATGACCCGAAGTCAATATATCACGGTTTTGGTGCAGTACTTGCATGTGGAAGTTATTAAAATACAAGTCGGAGGATAAATTAAAGTAATTAATAATATTTCACGGCCAGTTTTTTAGGAATTAAACCAAGTACCAACCAATCAACATTTATTGAATTTTCTTTTCCGAAAGTTAAAAATTAATCGAACATTTATTGAAATTTCTTAATTAAAATTCCGACCAACAAAGACTTATTTTTGAGACTCATTTCATAATAGGTACTTCGAAAATCGTTTACTTTCCAATTAATGTAAAATAGAATATATGATGTAATTTTTGGAAAACATAATATAAAGTAGATAAATAAAATATTTTAAATCATAATATTTACACATCTCGATCGTTTCGACATATCATTTTATGTAATCATCAGTTTTATTATTTTTTGTTCGACATATGATTTTATGTAACCATCAGTGTTAACTTTTTGGCGCCAATATTTTCCATTATTATTTTAAACTCGATTGAAGTTATGAAAGTAGAAATATAACATTCAGTAAAAGTAGATTCTAAAATATTGCGACCAGTTTTAAAATTCGAATGATTTGGTATGTAAATTTATTCACGTTGCTAATGGATTAGATGAAAAAATCAGATCACGTATGGGATGATTTTTGAAAAGGGTGAGAAGGTAAATTATGTCACTTACTGTAAGTGATTAAGCAATGTTATTTTCATACACGTACGTGTATACACATTTATATTAAAAAATACGGTAAATCTAATTCTAATATCTAAGAGTTTCAATACTCAATTTAATTAATTGTATTCACATTATTGCACTTTCAAAGTTTTGATCTCAACTTTAGTTATGAAGCAATAATTCTGCAAAATCATTGACTAGATTTCAGTCCATATTTAAATGTATAGATAATATATAATACGATCTTTTTATATAATATGATTACATTTGCACTTTAGTACTATTGTTTTATCGTAAAGAATATAACGTAATACTCGTTTATTTATAAAAATGCATTATTGGGCAATTAAATAGTATAAATAAAGATAGTAGATTTTATAAATTATAGATTTATAAAATCTGATTTTTTTAACTTCCCGTAGGGTAAGTTATTGTAATCGGCCGAAAATCGGAATAGAAAAGTTTTACATTTCTCGACGTTTTGAAGGTTTCTGAACATTTTGGCATACCTCAGAAAAAATGGATGTGTGTGTGTATGTATGTATGGATACAAATTTCCAGTCACGTGCTGTACCGGTAAATCACGTAAATCCCCATTACGTTCGTAGTAGATATAATTTTCGATTAGTTAGTGAGGTTTAAAGAATTTTCTATATAAACTTATAAAAGTGCAGTGAAGGTTTAAAAATGACTTGTCACGTTCCTGGTTGCGTAGGAAATAAGAAAACAATAAGATTACATGGTTTTCCATTGAACTTCCGTATGAAGAATTCCATTTGTTTAGGAATGCACGAAAATTGTTTGAAAAAACAATTTACAAATGATAGCTTTGGCTATGTATGCTTTGTGTGTGATAGACTTTGGTTTCAAAATGACTTAAAAATATCAAATATTGCTCAAAAACAAATTCTTAATAATGGTTTTCTGAATACTGATTCAAATAATCAGATTGGATGTCAACCTTGTCGAAAGGCATTAAATTCTGGAAAAATTCCCACTTTGTGTCAATTTAACGGGTTTGTAATTCCACCTATACCAAATTATATACCTAAACTAGATACTGTATCTGAAAGGTTAATTTCAACTAGGTTGTGTTCCATGCATATTAGACGATTGCGACATGCAAATGGACAATTTGGAATATTGGGACAAATTATAAATGTGCCTGTTGACGTTAATGATGGTTAATTGATTACCTCGTAATATTGATGATGATCATTGCATTAACGTTCACATAAAAAAGAAAATGATTCATAGATCAAGCTATGTGCAGGTCTTGATAAATAAAATTAATATAAAAGTATGGCTTCAATTTTTTAGGCAAGACAGATATTACAGCTGTTCTAAGAATGAGATTATATCGTCAACAAAAAAGTAAAAAAATACAAACAGTAAATGAATGTATGTTAATTTTAATTACATGAAGTTCTTCAAACACAATTATTACATGATGAATGAAGTTACGAAAACAATATCTGTTTAGGCGTTGTTTAACATAATCTACTGTGTGAACGAATATTATAGAATTTATTATTCAGCAATTACTTTAAACCGATCATGTCATATCTCAAGTATGAGTTTGATTACATTATTGTTTGTGAATATTATACATATTTTTAATGCAATCATAAATTTATCATTTATAATTTATCATTATATAAATGTGTATAATGGTTGACAGTGACACTAATAAATATGTGCATCACGAGTGTTACCATATTACTAATAAACATTATTCAAAATTGTTATATGATGTATTTATGTTTACTCAACAAATTTGCTATAAAGTAGCTTTACTAGTTGCTTGGAATTTTTCACAAAAGCCATTGTTTTTTCAACACAAGCAAAAAGTGCCATTTTTTGCACATGCAGCTCTATATCTCTGAAACGGCTGCACCTGCCTCTGCCAAAATCTAACCACCACTTCTCCCCATCATTATGTTCCGAATGTTTTTTGGATCAATCAAATCGGTTGATCTCTTAAAAACTGTCATTCTTAGCATTCTTTGCTCCATATCTCCGAAGCCGCTGGACCTGTCATCTTCAAAAACTCTGTACACCTCCCTATAAATAGGAATCAATTGCTTCTCGAATTTTGCAAATCGCTTCATCCGTACGCTCGAAATCGTCGACGGAAAATTGACTCCACACATACACACACACACACATATTTATTCTTAAGCATGCCAAAAAGTTCAGAAACCTCTGGAACGTAAAGATATGCAGAAAATTTCATTTTCGATTTTTAGCCCATTACTATAACCTACCTTATGGGAAGTTAAAAAATATCTCATGTTGTTTGGAAATTATGAGCTTTTAAGTTCAACCTAGAGCTTTGGTGAAATAATGACTATTTTTGGTTGTTTAGTTAATTTTATTAATTTTGTTTATTCAAACTTTGCAACTGTAACTATGAATCACATTTTTAGGGCCACAGTAAATAATAATAATACAATTGCCCCAAGATTTTAAGAGTTGAGTTTTTTGTTCAACTATGAATTGAAATTTTTCAGAATCGGTCGACTTTGAGATGTCCTCTTTAAAAAATTGACCAAAGTGGGTTAATTTAATCGGGATTGTAAAATGGTGAGAACTAGATAATTTCATTATTGAAAAAATCGAGTAATCTAAAAATGACACGAATAACCTAACTACAACAAACAAAAGACCTAAGTTGAAAGATTTGTGAGACATTTTTTAAATTTTTTCAATTTCAATTTAAATTCAAAATTCTTTCTAATAACTGGATTAATTCTTGTTAAAAAACTTTTTTATTTATAACTGTATATTTATATACAGAACTATATTTTTAAAATATTTCAATAAGCAAATTCAAACAACTTTAGACTAATGCCAGCAAAAAATGATGAAAAAAGTTGTCCATGATCACAAATATGACACATGTTCCCCGGAGCGAAACATCAATAAACGGCAATGAAAAATTTATTTTTAATAATAATTTTCATAAGAACGACAATTATATATTACCTTTTGAATTATAGTATCTATTCGAAATATTTGATCCTGCTGTGATACTGGAAACTTGTAAAATATAACTTGTAACTGTGCAAATTTGATACAAATATTTATAAATATATACAAAGGTAATGTATATTTATGAATCATCGTTCTTTTTATAAACTTCCTATATCTTATTTGAAATTGCATAGTGCAGTAGTAGGAACCATGGCCTTGCAACCATAAAGGTTCGAGTTCTAATCCTACACTAGGCACAACTGATATCAAGCATTAGTGATATCAGTTTTCATTAAAAATTAGTGGTGTATGGCATCGTACCTTGAGTCAAATTGCTGGAAATTCTCATACCAAACTAAAATTTTGAAATTGAGGAAAGTATCTGTAAGAACTAGAATATAATCCATTATATACAGGCAGTCATCTTTAAGTGAACTTAGTATCCATTTTATTTGCGATTGCAATGTGTGCCCTTTGTCATCTTCATAACAAGGTTATATTGTCCTGATTGAGTAGATTAATCCAAATATGTCCACAAATCCTCCATTAAAACCTAATGAATCATAATTTGATTATACATTTACTGTGTAGCCGTTCTAATTATATAAATACACCTAAGTCTGTTTTTACACGGAGATTGGTTCCAGAAGAAGCCGTGTAAAAAAAAAAAAGTGTAAAAAAAGACATTGATCTTATACAAAAATGGGTGATTTGTCCTACTCTCTAAAACCCATTAAAATTAGTGAAAAACAAGAATTTTTAAGAACAAGAATTAAATTAGTGCTATTCACATTTGCTTTGACCAGTAAAAATTGTTTGTATGCGCTAAAGGGGAATTCACTTAAATCTTTAAGCTAGTGTTCGCAAACTATCGATACTATCGATGGTTTCAGACTTTTTTCTTTCATAAATACTTTTTTGTGATATGAACATACATCGCAAAAATTAAATTTGACAAAAAAATTTAAGTACATAAAATTTCAAATCGTGCTAAATGGAATAAAATCGTGTAAATAAATTAAAAATATTCAATTTTCAAACCGTGTTATATCAAAACCGTGTACAAAAAGATCGTGTAAAAACAGACTTAGGTGTATAGAGAAACCGATAGTTGCATTACAGATAAAAGTTGACTTGATTTGTGATTATTTTCCAACTAAAATTCTGTGCAGCATTAATAAATTAGGTTAACAATCGAGAATAATTACCTCTAATGATATTTCTCCTGTCTGATTGATAAAATCATAATAAACTTGAGTAAAGTGTTAGAATATAATTTAGTATATACCGGCAGTCATCTTAAAGTGAACAATTTATTTATATATTTATTATAGTATACATTTTATTTGCATTTAAAAGTGTGCCCTTCATCATTTCCACAACAAGGTTATATTGTCTTGAATGAGTAGAGTAATCCAAATATCTCCACAAATCCTCCATTACACCCTAAACAATCATGATTTGATTATACATTCTGTGTAGTTATTCTTATTATTAATAATTATGCAAATATAGAGAAACCTTCAGTTGTCTTACTGAAGGGTCTAATATATACAAAATGTTTTTAGATGAATTAAGTAATTGTTAATATAGTCACTGTATTAATGTAACATATTTCTGTACTATTGCAGGTAATTGAACACAATTCATCAATAAATACAACATTTTTAATTAAAATGGAAGTTGAACTGACATGACAGTTGACTGAAAAGCCTTGTGCAAAACTTTGCAAAAGTTTTTCACTAAGTTTATATAAATATTATTACGATAATGTTTTATACAGTTAATACTTACATATTAATCGGTATTTATCATATCCTGATGTATTTATTAAAATATTTGAAGTTTTGATACAAAACACAATAAAGAATAAGATCCTTATCTATGAATAAGATGTTTTGCATAGTTTCAATTATGTGGCACACTTCACTGCTATCAGTGTACATGAATTTAATTTTGACGTTTAAAACTGAAAGAATAACAAAAATTTTGTGGTTATATATATATACAAATTCAAATTTGTAAAAAAATGTGTGGAAATCGGTTGCCAAAATTGTATTGCAAAGTTATTGTGCCAAGCATATTGTTTTTAATCATTTTTACATAGTGTCATTGTGTGGTTTTAACGAATTTATTTTAAATTGCTTGTTTCTGTTTACTTTGAATCCATACAATTGATTGTTGTGCAGTGATTAATTACAAACGAATAGTGCTTAATTAGTAAGTTAATTACTAACGAATAGAGCTTAATTAGTGATTGTAATTAAGTTTTTTATAGTTTTCAACATATATATATGAGGTTTTACTCATGAAGTTTGATTTAAATCCTAATAATTAACAAGTTTGAGACAGGGGTTATGTTTTCTTCCGGAGGCTCTTTCACCCACGGGAGCGCCTCCGCGAGTAGCCTCCAACCCGCATATATAAGGCGGTGCTAATTAGCGCGCAGCTCATTAGTGCATCAGCTCCCGAACAGTGAACATCTCGTAGTGCAAGTACAATAAGTGATCAAAATGAACAATAATTATTTTACAACCAAGTAGTGTTTATAAAGTGTTATAAAGTGTGTTCCGGTATGCAGTTTACACATATAAAAGGTAAGAACTTTTATTTTTTATAATTTTGCTTAATTATTAAGTTTTATTCGCACAACAAGTGACACCGTCTGGTACTGATTTGTAAACAATGTTTACATCTGTAAAAATATCGTAGGGGTGCTTTGTTGTTGATTTGCAATAAATTTATCACATATTATTCATTATTATTGCACTTTTACATAATATTTATTGAGATTTTTGCATTTTTTCGCTATTTAAATTTTGTAACATTTGCAAAATCCAAGATGGCGGCCATAAACACCAACGGTGGTTTTGTCCTGTTTTAAATAATATAACCGTTTTCACGGCGTATTATTGATGAAAATTCAATAAACTTTGACCTAATGTATCCATTTACATTAAAAAACTGCACTTGTACAGTTATTTTTTTGCAAAAAGCAACGAAAAATTCTTCGGTCTTGAACCAAAACAAAACGGCGTCAACTGTCAATTGACCAAAGTTTGAAACGCCTTTTTAACATTACAATCGTATTTGCAACGCTAAAACTCAATATAAATCATTTGTATTTTACAAATTTGATTCTTTTTCGTATAAAATTTCATATTATTATTATTAATATTTATTATTTGCAAATTTTCTGCAAACTATTAACAAGCCATCTAGCGGCGCATTTACAAAACAAGATGGCGCCCGTTGCTAATTTCAGTTCATCTGCAAACCACTGATAATTGATTTAAATACTTAAATTATTATTTATTCAATAATTATAAATACCTTTATTATACTTATATTATTTTTACATATTATTTTCAAGTTACATAAAACAATAAATATAAAATGGAATTATTTCATATCATCTAGATGAATATTTTTTTAAAATAAAGATATAATGACATAATTCCATCATCTATTCTTTATTTTATATGACTTAATTAATATAAAATTATAATAAATATATAAATAGTTATTAATTTCCATCAAATCTAATGTTATATTTTTCATTATTTTCAGATTTTGATATGATCTTATCACTTTGATATGATCTTATCACTTCGAGCCCACATCACTTCTAGTTTGCAGAGAGATGCAGATTTTGCAGATATTTATAATACACTGGGGCCTCGCTTTACGGCCTAGATACGTTCCGCAAAACTTGGCCGTAAAGCGAAAAGCCGTATAACGAATCAATTATTCTAATACGTATTCATACAAATTCAATGGGATCGGTTCCAAATTTAATAAATATATAATATGGTTTATCATTCAAAATGCATTTTATTTTTTTATTTTGTTTAAATTATAAACATATTTAATAAGAACATAAATTTTACATAAAATAAAAAACTTCAAAAACATTCCATAATTTTTAAATACAGACCACTGTCACCATCATTTTGCGCTGGTGGTTTGAAAAATTTAGATGATGTGATTGATTTGTGATTTATAACAGCTAATGGCTGAGTTAATTCCTCGAGAGACATTAGTGCTACGTTCGACGTCAGGATCGTTTTCAAGGAAGATGTTATTCCTTGTTCAAAATATGAAAAAGCGCTCGACATGATTTTTGATGTTAGCTGTTTGGATACAACAGGTCACTCTTCTTTTATCTATGCAACAGGTTCTGTATCTTCATCAATTGCCGGCTCTGCTTGCAACTGATTAGCTGCAAGTAGATCCAGCACATCAGATTCGTTTAAATCTTCAAAACCGAGATCATGTGCTAAATCCAAAATGTTTTGTCTAACTTCAGGAAGGAAATTAACTTCTGCATCGGTAGTTTTTATACATTCTGGCCATATTTCTTTTCCAAACATGATTCATTGTTGTCGATTTCAATTCCTTCCAGGATTCACTAATGTTCTCAACAGCATCCTTGATATTATAGTTTTTCCAAAACGTTTGAACCTTTGAAACGTAAAGATATATAAAAATTTTCATTTTCGATTTTTTTGCGATTACTATAACTTGCGCTACGGGAATTTAAAAAAGCCGTTATAGCGAAACATTTTAGGCCGTATATCGAAAACGTTCCTTAATTAAAGAGGGCCGTTATAGCGAAAGGCCGTATAAAGAGCGGCCGTATAGCGAGGCCTGGGTGTATTGAAGAGAATGGGCGAAGATGCTGCAAAGGTAGGATTTCCTTTACTTACAACTTATGAGAATTATATTTTTTTCCTTAAAAAAATAAATAATTTTCATAGCCCATGATGATATTTATGCGTATGCAGTGATAAGCAAAGTGTTATATATTTATATTATATATGTTATATTATAATTTATGTGCTCGCAATATTTTATATATGTATTTAAATTTGTCGACGTTGCTGAGAGATCTTCAAAAAGTAGGTGGAATTGTTTTTCATTTAATTTATTTTATCTGCTATTTGTGCAACATTTTTTAACATTTTTATTTTTGCACAATTTTTATCACTTGCTTATCACCACCCATACTATTTTATCTACTAGGTTTTCAATCGTGTTTTCAGGTATTAAAAGGTATACGATGAAAGGTTTTTGGGCATTTTTCCAACAATTTAGTGAATTCAATAATGAAAAATGTAAATCTTTATTATAATAGAATAGGTTTCGGGTTTCGATTTGACACATCTTCAATGCATACAAATAATCAAATCGAAACAAAGGAATGACGAGAACACTAATTAATATAATACATAGTTATATATAAAAAAAATCATTATTCAAATAAATTAAATAAAATTTATAAAAGTACTTGTGACCAAATCATGGCGAACATTTGAATCAAACATTTACCATTATTTGATCACAAGTATCTTTATATATATATTTTTTAATTTTATTTTAATATTGAATGTTTTTTTCATATATAACTACATGTGTTATATTAATTAGTGTTCTTGTTTTTGAGTTTTGAATTGATTATTTGTATGCAGTAAAGATTAGTCAAATTGAGGTTCGAAACTTAAGCTATTATAATGAAAATTTACTTTTCTCTTTATTTAATTCTTTCAATTATTGGATGGATACCCGAAAACATTTTATTTGCTATATAATATATATTATCACTCTATGACTTTTTTTTAACTCTAACTACAATATCTCACACACTATTTGTCTCTGGATTCGAGTTTCTTTATATGTATGGTCTCGCGCTGTATCTCTTTCTACAACTCCTACTGCCATCTATTATGTATTCGTTACTCTTTTGTCATCATTTATATATCAGCCGCCAATCTTATCTCGGCTATCACGACTTCACAATCGTCTTCGACTGCTACACCTGAACTTCTTCTAAATGGTCAACTAATTTGTCATTGTCATTGCCTAAAGTTCCCATCATTGCAATTTTTTTCATCATTTTTTGTCCCTCATGAAATATTTAATCCCCCTCGACGGGTTGTCACCTTAACGCGGTGGGGGGGTCTAACTAACCAAAAGTTACCAAGAACAACCCACACAATTTGAGCCAATTTTTATCTATTATTAATGGTTTCAACACCAAACTTTTTGATGTATTTCATTTCTGTCGCCTATTTCAGGTCTTGAATTGTTTTTCACTTCTGCCCGACATTCACTTCACTTGGCTTTACTTTACCGGACAAGTGTTTGCCTGAATGGGTTCTGCTCTAATCGGCTTGCCGGCGTCTGGTGGAGTTTTGCATTTGTGTTTGTGATTTTTTCCCTTCTGCCTGATAATGATCGTTTTACCTTACCGGACAGGTGCTTGCCTGTAATGCGTCGCTTCTGTCGCGGCTTGCCGATGTCTGGTGGGGTTTTGCGTTATTTCAGGTCTCAAAGAATCTCAACGAATGCCCTGAACGATGAATCACTTGACATGATGTGGGTCGATGAAACAATCGACATATCGAACGCAAATTGAGGTCAGAGGATAATGTTCCCGGACCGGCTGCTGCCTGAGTGTCGTTTCACTTACCAGACTGCTGCATCCCTTAATTGGTTTGTCAGCGAATGATGGAGTTTCGTGCATTTTAAATGCGCGTGCTCTTAAATAATTTATTGAACGTGTGAACTAGTCCAGCAATGGGCGATTCGAAGGTTCCTCGTCGATATAATTCAAGTGCGTTCCACAAAGAACGTACGACGACCTCAACAAGGCAGTTGTCTTTAGACAAGAAACTAAAAAGGATTCCCTCAGTAGCGGCGAGCGAACAGGGAACAGCCCGGCACTGAATCCCCAAGGGAAATGTAGTGTTCGAGAGGAACCGATCTCTAAGGTCAAGTCTCTCTTCTGAGTCGAGTTTGCTGAAAATGCAGCTCTAATGGTGGTAAATTCCATCTAAGGCTAAATGTCACCACATCATATAGTGAACAAGTACCGCGAGGGAAAGGCGATATCGTTC